CGATAACAGAAGGCCACAAATGGCAAATAAACAGATTCAAAGTAAATCAGAAGAGTTATGAAAGATTGAGCTTAATAAAAAGTGAGAATTTATGAACCTATCAAATGAACGCCGATATGAAAATCGCCGGAGTCAAATAGATGACTGGAAGTCGGGAACCCACCGAAGAATGTGAGTGGAACAGTTACAAAGCTCTTGGAGTTTACGAATTAATGGAACAAGAACCTCGGCTAGGAGGTATGATCTCAAGCAACTTGGAAAGCATGAAACTTGATACTTGACAGAAGTGGACAGTAAAGTCCAGGGAACTTTGAGGTCGGCAAGTTTGATCTCGGACAAAGGGGCACAGATGAACGAACAGTGTAGGTTCCATCACCTCAGAATGCCGAGGTAATAGAACCTAGGGGGCAGTTGTGGGGATATATTTTCTTAGTACCAACACGTGGCAAGGTAACGCCGACGTGTCAGCCGAGGTGCCACGTGTCCTGGTCGTGGCGCCGAGGTGATCTCGGCAAGGCCGAGGTTATCTCCGAAGATATCAGAATTCGAGATAAGTGGATAAGGGACAAGAGTCATAGAATGAAAAGAGAACTCAACCTGGATGAGAGACAAGAGTCCTAGAATGAGAGAAGACTTCAGTTTGTATTAAGATAAGACTCTTAGAGAGTTTATCCTAATCTTACTGGGAGTCCAAGATTAGCAGTAATCCTGAGTCCATAGAAGTTAGGCTTCTATTGGGACTAGGTTTATGTTGGCAATAAAAGAGAGGTACCCCCATGGGTCTAAGGTATGCTTTTGATGCTCAAGCTTGTAAGTTTTAGCATTTGATTTATCTTTGAGAGATATACTGACTTGATCGTCGAAGTGCCCCCGGGTGGACGAACCACCGCCGGAATCTTCTCTTTCTGTTGCAGGTCAGCCAGGTGCCATCTATTCTACCGGTGCTCTCCAGCTGGTTACTAAGCGGGCAGTGTGGTCAGAAAATCACCCACACAGTTATGACTAATTGTAGTGTTAGTTATGACTTGATTATAACTCATTGTAGTGTTAGTTATGACTTATTTTGATGTTGACTATGAATTCTGATTATTATTTTAATTATAATCCAAACGATCTTTAATTATCTTATGTGATAATCATTTAGGAAGTGAGTGAACTTTTTGGTTATTTGGCTTTTTGGCTATTTTAGCCTGGGACTAAAAAGTCTCGTATGGAAAGGACTTTTAGCTTTTTCGTGAGAGAAAGAAAGTAATAATTATGGGTTGGATGTAATGTTTTGTCTTATTGAATTAAAAAACCTTCTTTTTTTTGTGTGTGAGATTATTTTAGTCAAAAAAGCCCAAACCATCCCTTCCCAAAGAAGCTCTATTCATTATATTTTTTTTAGTTATAATTAAAAAATGATTTAGTTATGATATTTGAGGGTGTGGATTCTAGAATGACTTATGCATAATCCAATATAAATATATACACACACATATATATATATATATATATATTTACACTTCATTTAGAATGACTTATGCACAATCCAATATATATATATATATATATATTTACACTTCATTTTTAATTTTGCATATATTTTTGTAAATTAAAGTATGATGTAAATATTATTTCTCTTACAAAGCTAGTGTGTGTGAGAGAGAGAGAGAGACTATTTTAGAGTTCGAATATTATTTCCTATCTTATGATTCATATAATCTGAAAGGATACCAAGACACCAATTATATATAATTTTATTAATTGGAGAGAGTTTATTTTTTTATGGTGGTTTGGATCCTAGTACAATGCTTGATGTTGCATTGATTGACTCAAATTTTAAGCTTTGGTGGGCTGTTAATTAATTTTATGTCAGCTTGATTTAAATTTTATTTTAATTTATATTTTAAATTAATTAATTTAGTCATTTCGTTTAAAATTAAATTGAAACTGAATTTAAAATATAAAAATTAAATTATTCCATTTGAAACAAAAGTGAAATTTAAATTAAATTATAAAAATAAAAAAAATGTAATTAATCCTTTTATTTATTTATTAAATGAGACAGTGATATGGGCAAAACTGAAAAGGTAGGTCAAACATTTATGGGTCAGGTGAATGCATGATGGATTGGTTGGTGGCTGTAACTTAAAATTTTGAGGGTTGTTTTGAGAAGGCAGTAAAAAGTTAGTTTTTTAATTTTTTTAGTTTTTTGGTGGCTTTTTTGGTTAAAAAAGTTGATATTTTTGTGATTTTTTTTTTGTGTAAAAAAGTTAAAAAGTTGACTTTTTACTAAGTTCTTAAATCAAATTTTGTTGGATTTTGTTAATCATTATTCTAAAATGCTAGTTAATTTATTAATTTATTTTATAAAAATATTTATTTTATAAAATATATAATCATTTTAAACTTTATTAATTATTATCTTTACAACAATTATTGTTAATCATTATTCTAAAATGCTAGTTAATTTATTAATTTATTTTATAAAAATATTTATTTTAAAAAATATATAATCATTTTAAACTTTATTAATTATTATCTTTAGAACACTTATCAACGTCGTCTTTTTTTTTTTTAAACTTCTTTTATTTTTACATGTGTTAGTCAATCGCGTTATGAGCTCTATTTCAATTCAGCCTTTCATTTGGAAATAGATTTTTTTTAAGTCTTTTTGTGCAATTTTTTTAAATAATATTAATTCTTTTTTTTAGCTTAAAAGTTAAAAGCACATAAATATTTTAAAAATTAAATAGAATCTTGATGTAAAATTTTGATCCCAAAAAAATAAATGTGTTGGATTTTTTTTTTAAAGCTCTATTTGGTTTTTTTTTTTTTTTAATTTCAAAAATTAGTTTGATCAAACAAAAATTCAAAAACATATTTATGATTTACTATTTTTTTGTGTTTATTTTTGTTAAACTAATTTCTATTTTTTTAAATAATAATTTCCAAAAACTCATCCAAATATGTTTGATTTCAATATCCCGAATCAGTTTTCTAAATTTTGTTTTAAAAATTAGAAATTAGTTTAACCAAAAAAATTCGAAAAGATGTTTTTAAAGTTTGAAAATTTATTTTTGCTCTTCAAAAATGTAAAATCATATAAAAATGATTAAAAAAATTATTTATTATATTTTTCACCAAATTAGTGTTTAATTTTTTTTAAAAAAAAACAGTTTTTAAAAATCAAATCAAACAAATCAAGGAAATGCTTCGGTATGTAATGCACATCATATTATGTAAATTTATATTTAACTTATGTAATTTTATGATAGAATTTCATAAGATTTACATGAGAATTTTCCAAAGGTATTTAGGCCCCTGTTTGTTTTGATAGTGATTTGTGACCTATTATTTAGGCCTTGGAAAGAGAATTGGAATAGAGGAGGTAGGGATAGTATTAGAAAAAAAATTCCAAGAACTAGAAATTTTTTATTTTATTTATTTTATTTTTTACATAATGGGCATTTTTTTGAATATTAATATTTAATTTTTTGTATTTTTTGTTAAGTAAAAATCATTGCTTTATTTGTTTTATTTTTTTAAATTTTTTTTTTTTACATATTGGGCTTTTTTTTAACATTAATGTTTAATATTTTTACATTTTTATTTATTTTATCATTTTATATAAAAATAATTTAATAATCCTTATTCTAACAACTATTTTAAAAATAAATATAATTTTATTTAACCTTCTTATTAACAATCTCCCCACTATACTCCTATATCACTTAAACGCAACAGGAGAGATGTATTCCAACAAATTCTCACTTTTCTCCTTTGTATACACTTTTGAGTAATTATTGCATGAGCTTGACCTCATTGTAAGATTATCCATATGCGAACATGCCAACGTGCTCCACGCGTATCTCAGTGTGTGTGAGAGAGAGAGATAACAAACCGAAAAAAATTGATATTTTAATCATTAAATTCAATAAAAATAATATTTTAAATATTTTATGTATATTTATATTGCATTTAATAACTAAAATAATAAGATTTTTCTATCAATTTTACTTAATAAAAATAAATAAATAATTTAAATTGAAAATAAATTAAAAAATTAATATTTAAATTGACAAAATTAAAAATTCAGGATTTATATTGTTACAAGTCTCAAACTCCAAGATTTATTTTTATTTTTTTTTTCTGTAATTGTCCCTTTGTTTTTTCTTTGCTTCAAAACTTAAAGCCTGTTTGGATGGACCTTTTTTACTATCTTGTAGCCTATTTTACCAACAAATCCTTTGTTTGGATCAACCTTTCAGTTTTGATTTTGAAGTAAAATGCCCCCCCAAAAAAAAAGACTCATAAATTTTGAAAGTAAATTGGAAAACACCCATAAAACAAAAAACTAGAAGTCAATTAAAAAACAATGAAAAAATTGGTCAAAATGAAGTGAATGAACTACAAAACTAATACTAAAAAGTTAATTAAAAAACAGCATCCAAACGAGACCTTATAGCCATTTTGGACTTTGCTCATTTGACACCAACCTCACATGGGTCCCATTCAATATCTTTTTTTTTCATTTTTTTTTTTAAAAAATATTTTTATTTTTATTAATCATAAACAACAGGTCTACTCCACAGTCAGAACTTGCACAAAGTCAAATAAAAGCTAAATTGAATTTTTTGGGTCAAAGAACAACAGCCCATATTATAGCCCCCCAATATGGGCTTTTTTAATTTTAATTTGAATTTGACTATCCCACTAGGTTTTAGGGCTTCATAATAACTACTTGCACTAGCTATTGTTTTGTATTTACTCTTTCTTCCAAGTAATATGCCATGCCATGCCATGCCATGTCCCAAATGCTATGAGACCAGCACTGAGACATCCTCAAGATCAATTTTTAACATCATTTTTAAATAATTCACAATTTCTATTTTTTTTAATTTTTTTTAATCAATCAGCAAGAGAAATCAAGCGAGAGAGAGCTTCTTGAACTCACACCGCATGGAGAGAGAAAGAGGGACTACCTAACACAGTATCAAAAGGAAGACCTTACGAAGTTGAAAATCACAGGAACAAATCCAAAATGATAAAGCCCCAACTCAAATTACACTTGAGAACAAAACCTTCTTGTATTTTCATGATTCTATATGGAAACTTGACAGTAACAATAACCTTAACAGACTAGTACACCATAACATTCTACAGATAACCATACCCAGAATTTGCTTAAAAAAACCCTAATCAGAATAATCTGGATCCCCATCCACAATATCAGGAAGTGATTCCATATCCGAGTCAACATCAAGTTGCTTGCTTCTCTCCAAATTCGATGTTGCCGTGGCAGTGCTTACAATTCCTGTTGCAAAGTCATCAGGCTTGGTTGCCAATTCACCCTCCACATGATCTGACACAATACCGTCTGCAATAACGCTGCTAGTACTGTCCCCTTGCTTAATGGGCTCTTGAAACTGGGGTGCTTCAACCATGATTTCGTCCCCTTTTCCTTCAACCCTATCGGACACTGGCTCTGGTCGACTTTCTTCAGGAACTCTAGTACTGAATGAATCAGCTACAAGAGGAATCTTCTCAGGTGATGGATCTCTACATGTTTCTGAAGGTTTTTCAGTACAACTTTTATCCTTTCCAGCATCGTTGGTCACTGGAATTTCAATCTCGTCGTCATTTGCCAGCCAACTTTCATACAGGTCATCATCACCCAAATTGGAATCGTCAGGTCCCTTTCCCATAGTGCTGGTTGAAAATGGGGTATTTTGTTTATGACCATACGAGTATACATCTGGGAATCTGCTGTTAATCCCATCAAAGGAGGTGTTGCTGGCAGATGATAGATCAATCAATGAAAGTGCCCTAGGATGTATGAGCACTTCCAAGGCCAAAAGAGCATGCGCACAAAATTCACCAAGCTTTGTTCCTGTTTCTCGCATGCCTGCAGACACCATGTTCAAGAACGGTGGGTTACAATAGCATAAAAAAAATGATCAAGGAAAAAAATGGCATGGATGATAAATGCTATTCAATGAAAACAATCAGCCACAAAAAAAGATGGTTTTTTAGTACTATGTAAAATTTAAGTTTGACAGAAGAAAGTTCAATGGAAGAATGCATGTGACAAACATGTGAGCAGCTCAGTACTTGGTGAGGGAGAGAGAGAGATGTAGCTTTTCCAGCATTCTATTTTCCATCACAAAATACCTACAGCAAATCTCCTATAGTGTCTACAGTGTCGTTGCCAGTGAAACAGGTTAAGGTTGGTGTTGTCCCAAGGACGGACACAAACACAAACATGGATATCAACACCGACAGCACAATTTCCTATAAATAGGATACAAACATGGCAGGGATACAGCAAAAGTTATTTTTATATGTTTATTTGCTATGTATATGAATATTAAATCTACAAACAACAAAAAATAATAAGAACCTAGAGGCTAAGTCCTACCACTATTATTGCTTAAGTGCATTCATCCACATCGACAACAGGAAAAAAAAAAAAAAAACTAAGGCTAATTCAACATGAAAATAACTCAATCTAAAAATTAAACTTTAATCAAAATAGAAAATACTATTTTATCAATCATAAACTATCAGCACTAGAAATTATGGATGCTACTAGTACAAGTAGAAGAAGACATGTTTTTTTATAACCATTACAATAAGAAAAATACTAATTCAGATGTAGTTTTCTCAGCATTCTATTTGCCATCATCCATTTTCAACCATACCCTGCTATGCAACAGAATACAAGTTGATTTTACACAAGGGCACAATTAAATCTCAAAATATCGTGAATAGATGAGAATGCAAAAAACATGCACATTCCTAAATAATGTGCATTTTCAGATCGGAGAATAAAATTTTAAATTTTCTAATAACAAAGATTACCTCTACGGAAAAGTTCAAGACCCTGGGCTAGATGTGGAGGGCGAAAGCGGGCAGGAGAAAGAAGAGATGCCAAGAGTGCACGTAAGGTTGCAAGCTGAAAATCTGCCCAAGTCAGGACAGGTTCACTGGAAAGAAAATTATGTTTTTCCTCCTTAGCCCATCCCCCTTTACAAGCATTTGTAGCTACAGTTATAAGAAGACAATCAATACTTGGTCGCCAACTCTCAGCTCCCAAAGCACCACCCTGTTACATATCTCATAGTTAATAAGATATTTCATTTTAGATCAGAGGAAAATTCATGATGGAAGAAAGGAAGATGATGACACACTAGTCATCTAAAAACCAATTATAAAGGGTTCCTTTACTGTAAGTCTGTAACAGCCAAGGGCAATCTGAAAGAATTGAGTTTGCCTACTTACTATATTTCTAATGAAACAGATCTTTTATCGTAAAATATGCCCAGTACAAAAAAACTGAAAGCATGCTTTTGTGAAATTAAAAAGATACTCCTACTAATTACATCTTAAACTACTGTTAAGAAGAGAGATTTCTAAGTTGACTCATGTGAGATGCTCAATAACTAAAGCAAAGAATGTTGAATTCTCTTTCAATGAGGGCTAACTTCCTTCTATATAATGAAATGCCAATGCCTTGAGAAGTAAAGTATTTACACCTTTATATTTATTTTTAATTTTTTTTACTACTTAAAATATTTATTAAATATTAAAATTTGGAATTTGAAATGCTTATGCCTTGAGGCTTAGGTCTCGCCTCACATCTTTCTTTTAGATGAAACAGAGGATATCTTGAAGGCTAAAAATTTAGAATGGGATTAAGAACAGATGCAAGAATAGTAGTGTATTGATCAAATACAAGACAGCCACAACTCAAATTGTGCAGCTTCATGATCTGACAGGATAACTTCATTCTTATCCAGACATAGATTGGCATAATAAAGTGCTAAGTTGATAACCCCAAAAACGTTAAAGGGAGTTAGAACAGAAATGCAAAAAAATTCTTAAAAAATTGGGTGATATCCCAGTAAAGCTTTTGAGAGAAGACAATAATAACACAAAAGCAATAGCAGATTGTCAAGAGGCATATGTCAAAAGTGTGGTTAAAACACTATGATCTGCAAGGATGTATGCATACAGACTTTTCACACATACCACAGTCAGAAGTGCTTCTAATGCCTCTAGCGCAGCTATCTTAACTGATATTGGAGTTGGGTCTTTGGGCAGTCCCACTTCCAAATCAACTCTATCAGGTTGCTCTTCAAGAGAACCTGCTGTGCTTGCATGCTTCCTTTTTTTCTGGCAACGCTGCAGTAATACATCATTCGAGGCCTTTAAATATGCACTTGACGAAGAGGTTCCACCACCATCATAGGCAATAGAGTCCAAATCAACAGATGCATTGTCGATAACTTCCTTGGCAAGATAGACTGCTATGCCTGCAAGATATACACCCATGCTAATAAGTATCTACCAAAATTACTTCTAACGAGAAAGACAGTTAACCGGTAAAAAATTAGACTATCGTGAAAAAGCCCTGTGCAGAGGAAAAAGTTGGCTCATAGTAATAGGTAGCAATAAAACTCCAGACAAAGATACAAGAAAATAAACCTAGCAGATCCATGCAAAAGCACAAAAAATCCATTTTGACTTCAAAGATCAAAATGAAAAATATTCTGAGCTGGTGCCACTAACCAAGGATGCACAACTTAGCTACAAATGGTTCAAATGGGATACAAGATATTTTATTTTCCGCAGGTTCAGAAAATGAATAGGGATTGTGCTTCTTTCTTTTTCTTTTTCTTTTTTTTTTTAATGGCACCGGGGTGTCCGGATCAAAGCCCGAAGAATCCCTAGGGATGCATAGACCCTTGGTAAGGAGTTTCCTGCAAGTGCACCACAGTTAATTCAAGGGTTTTCCCTCAGCCTGATGGCCTCAAGGAATTGTTAGCATCTAAGAGGTTTCAATCCTTGAACCTTGGACTGAAATAGGGATTGTGCTTCTAGGTTTTGCTTCCTTAGCATCTGCAGGATGTCCAACAGCATCAAACTGGTAATAGCTATAAAAGGATGGTATCACTTGGGAGAGTAGAGAATTTTCAAAATACAGCAATTACAAGCTTGTAATTGTTGAGCAACTTGGGGAACTCTCGGTCCATATGTGGCAGATTCGAGCTGTCCACTACTCCATCTCCCCCACTGCTTGGAGTTACCCAGAATTTATCTTAAAAGCAGTATTTAGCTTCGAATAGTTAGGAAGGTAACTATGCATCCCGCTAGTAGGCTGCCCAAAAATATATAATTCAAATTTAACTAAATACAATCTGGTGCGCTTGTTTCACAAATACATAATATGAAATCTAATTTTGTCTTGGGGGTTAGGAGGCACTTAGATTAATTTGTTCTTTCCCTTTAGAGAATGTGTAGTGTGTGATTGGGTGCACATATTAATCTTCAATATAGAACGACAACCAAATATGGACATAGTTATACAGCTGATACAAAATTGATAACATTAGCCAACAAATTTCAGATGGAATTTGTTGGCACACACAGAGAGAGAGAGAGAGAGAGAGAGAGAGAGAGATTTAAAAACTAAATGCTTACCAAGCCCCATGGACATAAGCAAAATCCTTATTATTGAGTAGACCTTTATCCTTAGATCTGGCAATACACATCTCTTGAAATACTCCGTTAAGAGTCGCACAATTTCTGCAGCATGCGGTAATAGTTGACTGCAAAATAAAAAATAGAACATTCACATAGTGTGCAACCATAACATATGAAAATATAGAGGAACAGGAAAGAAAATACAAGATTTTTTGAGATATAAGTTCACATGGTAGTAAAAACAGAAAATACAGAACACTAACGTATTTAATGATTTGGATAAATTAATCAAAATCATGCCCATGATATACTAGTATAAGCATAGATTCCACTAAGGTGAAAAGTAGAAGTCTAACAAAGTCATAAAATGAGGTTTGATTTACGTAACTTTCTGGTACAATGAAAAAAACAACTATAACAATTTTAAAAAAAACAAAGATCTTTAACAGTTGCACACCATAAATTGTAAAAGATAAAAAGTTGTGCAACATTTCTCACAGAATATTTCAGTAATTGCCTTTGTCAAAATTTAATCAAGTAACAATCATCATAGATAATTCAGTGTTGGTCAATGTTATTTTCACCTGCGTACACCCTTTATGACAGAACTGAGGAGTTCCAAGCTGTACAAATGCAAAATTGGAAGTTCCGAACAAATAAACTCTTGTTGCATGGCAGTCATGAAAGGAAATAAAGCTTGAGTCACGGAACCATCCACCATCAGCACTCTCCCAGCAAGGGCTACTAATGGGCGAATAGGTACTCTAACCTATCAGTAAAAAAACTAAATTGCTGAGAACACTAGCACAGTTACATCCATAATATTTCACTATTGACCAAGTCCAAAGTTACTGTTATAAAGTAGATCTGCCTCTTTTTGTTAACTGACAAAATTAACCCTAATAAAATGGCATTACCTGAACAGGATAAGAACTTGTAAGCATTGTACAACAGCAACGCATCAAGGTAGAGACACTGGACATCTGCAACCGCTCAGGTCTCTTTGTTCTCTGGTCCAAGGCTTCTCCTATTGTATGACTTCCTAAGGGAGGTGGGGGGTCTTTTCCTGGGGGAATTAATAGCCTCATAGCTTCATTATTTTTTGATTCTGCAATGAGTGAAACAAACCAATAAATTCCTACAAGTACCAGTAATATCACTTGTCAACATAGTTTTATAGCATACCTTCTTCTACACCTTGGAAAGCATCATTCAGGTGAACATTAATTGATAATAAAATCTTCTGCATCATCAATGACCAACTATCCTCATCTCCTCTAGATTTTGGAAGCAATGCTAAGCAATGACCGAGCTCCTAAACACAGAAAGCAAATAAGTGTGTATGCGTGCAACACTGCCTCTTATCACATGCCAGAGACTGCAATATCAAGCATTCAGAACTGCTCTCACCTGAAACATTTTAACACTGCATTTCCCTGACAAAATTTTTGAAACAACAGCAGCTTCAGCCTGCCAAAGGTATTGTATAGTCAACTCATCATGAATATGTTAGCAATCAACTGCAGTGACTTGAATGGCAACATAAAATTAGAGTCTAACCCAACAAAAAACAAATCTGATTGACTTATACAGAGAAAGTCACTATCACAGCCAAACTTTATTACGTTTCAATTCAAAGCATAAATTCAGTATAGCCATGGTAATACACAAGTCATGCCCATGACAACTGCTCTCCGGCTTTGACTTCTACATTTTGCCTTATGCTTCTAGATGAAGTGTTACTTTACCATTTCCATTATTGTCTTTAGATTTAACACAAACAAGACTAATTGCCAATATAGATGGCCATAGTAAAAGTACATGACAAATCACCGTAGTAGGGTAATATATAAATGCCCCTATTTGAATACATACATACATATATATATATAAACATATTATGATAATTTAATTGGGAATCTTGAAATGATAACAGAAAACATACACTGTCGTAACATCGATGGATGGAAGATGGAAAGAAAGTTATAAATGTGCATAGCAAACAAACGGCTCCTTCCTGCACAAGTGATCACCACAGAAACATGTCATGATCTTGAAATTATGAAGCCAAATCACAAAATGTCATTAATGAAAACAAAAGTAATGGCCAAACAGAAAAAAAATCCTAGTGAAATGATCTTCTAACAAGGGTTGAAGAAGATAGATCACAAAATACTGCATGCATCTTACCTTGACCAAGCTCAAGAATGAGGCATGGAGAAGTAAGTGTGACCTTATCCTGTGTGTATGCATTCATACGTGTGTGTGTGCGCACACGTGAGAGAGAGAGGGGAAAATGCTTCACATCTTCCACAATTAACTTGTGCAACAAAGAGGGACACCTTAAATGCAAAGTGCATGCAATATGTCCTCATACAGATTAACTCAAACATTGCTTCTGTCTAATTTTTGAAAATAACTTTTTCTCTATTGATATCAATTAGACCCACGAGGCCTCCACTCATGTAGGCACCATTGAATTTATTAACACTCTGCATATGCAATAAGTTATGGCATTTTCCCAACACTAGCACCACCTCTTTAGCCAAAAAATTGGGGTTGTGTTTGGTTTTGGTTTTGAAATCAATTTTGAAAGATAAATTTTTGAAAAGAGTTTTCAAAATTTGAAAATTTATTTGGTTGTATATTTTGAAAATAACGTTTACAAAATTTGAGTTTTGTAGTTTGGGATGATTTGTAGTTTTTTTGTAGTTTAATAGATGGGTGTGACAGAAAAAGTAATTGATTGATGTGTAGGCTGTGAGAGAATGAGAGATGAGAGAAGAAAAAAATAGTTGATTGATGTGTAGGATGTGAAAGGAGAGAAGAGATACAAAAAGTGATTGAAAACATTTTTGAGAAAATAGTAAACCAAACAAATTTTGGGTTTTGACTCTCAAAAATTGATTTCAAAATCAAACCAAGCACACTCGGGTATTTGGTTCTGGCATGTTTTACTTTTCAGTCTCTGAATATACAATATTCCATGAAAAAGGGGAAAGTGCAATATATGTTCAGCAGTACCCTTCAGCAGCATTAATTGACATACTCCACATGTCATTTTGAGTTAGAATATCAATGATTGACTTGTTACATTCAGTAAAAGACATTTAATAACAAAGATAGATAATAGTATATGATTTTGGCATTTTCAACAAGTACAGTTTAATGGACACAGCAAGTGATAAGTCTCTGCGAATTTAATACTAACCCATACAGCCTCTGAGCTATCTTCATTCAACAGCTTCAAAACTGGTTGAACAAGTTTTACAGCCTGGGAGGTCGCATCTTTCTTTACTCTTGGAAATCTACCCAGCCTATTTTAGGAGGAAAAGCAAAAATATCAATAAGCATTGCTATATTACCAATAAACAAAGGCTTCAAGGCATACAGACAAATATGAAGAGTTGCAAGTTGATACTTGGCATTGCAAGCATAAGATTGAAAACCAATCACAAATGAAAAGGTACATTGGATTAGAATGTCTGTGTCATATTAGAAGCTATGCTCCAATTAAAAGAGAAGGAATAACAACATTTTCACAAATGGAAAACATCCACCAAGCTGTCCTACTATAAAAGACTACAAATAATAAAGCTAGACACAGTACAAATAGTAAGACCAGAAATGAAATTCTCCTGTGTAGACACAAAATTTTAAAATGAATTCCCTCAGTTCCGTTGAGCACATGCATGTTGTGATTGTGGCAATTACACTTAAATCCCTTCTTACATAGTCTGCTGCACCTATTTTACTCATCCTGTTCATCCAAACTCAATCCTGAATTAACACCAACAAGCATTGCCATGCATCATGCATGTGTAGCATCCCTCATCACAAATTTACATATTTTTGTAAAAGGGAAAAACTAAGTACAATAGCGATTATATAAGGTTAACGAAGAAACCAAACCTTGTGAACAGATCTGATAGTGAGGCACAAGAAGCCACTTTCACAAAATGAGAATCTGCCGGAGGCTGCTTTAAAAAAAATGCCATTAGATTTTCAAAACAAATTGCATACCTAGGAAGGGATTATTTCCACAACCCAAGGACTGCATCAGAGAAACCATATATGTGAGGTGGGGAAATGCTGTTGATGCAGCCCATTTGCCTGTGGAAATAGTGGAATTACAGTAATAAGCAATTTCTAAAAGTAAAACTTCTCAAATTTAGCTTAGAAGTATAATTCATATTCTATCATTAATTAAATTATAAAAGTCCCAACTCCTAAGGAAAGCAAAACTGGAATAAAGTAGCTAGAATTTTCCAGATTACGGATTCTTACCACCAAAAGCTATCAAATATTCATGAATTTTGTTTTTAGCAATATTAATGCAGATTAAGTTTCCTTACCTTTCAAGTAAAAGATAAAGATTTGAGTCTTGTTTTTTTTCTCAAAAGAGGCTGTTTGGAAACTTGAAGATGAACTTCCTCATATTGGCAAACAATAGGGAGCCCAAACTCTCGTGTGACAATTATAAATGTGAGCTATAAATGTTTATAACAAATAATACCACTCTCAATGGTGAAGAAAAATAATTCTGAAAATTGTGTTGTCTTCTACATAAGTAAATCAGTATACATCATTATTATCTATATTAGCAATCAAAATAACTTGTCAAGCATGAGTAAATTGAGCTCGGCATTAAATTGCAAACTCCCAAATTTAAACGACAATCATGCACCAGAGAACTACCTCGGATCATTTAATACTGAAGTACAATAAAGGATGAAACTAGTTTTTCTTTTTTGTCTATTTGAAATTATGAAATTAGTTTGAATACCTGAATATGCAATTGGAGCTTAGGGAGCCAAATAGAGTATGATGCCAGGAACCGTTCAGAACTGCATTCTTGACAAGTCACCCCTAATAAACATATTCCAGCCCAGCATTTATCTGGCTAAAACATATTCATGCAATCAAATAAATGAACTGTCAATTCACTATTCACACAATGTACTACTTGAATAAGACAATTTTATATATGCGTATACACACATAGACAGACATATATTTATGAAGGTATGTTGAAATTCATCATAATGTTTATGGTTACATAGACAGACATATATTGAAAACATATTTATGAAGGTATGTTGAAATTCATCATAACGTTTATGGTTATAACCATGGTTGTTAGAATCGTATGATTCACAAATAATACGATTCAATATGAGTTTAAAAAAAAACGATTTAAATCGTTCTGTTGAATCGGAAATTGAGTAAATTGTACAATTCACTGCAATTCAGTTCTATTTCTATTTTTGTTTGCATAATGCATGAAACATCATGATGTTCACTAAACTATAAAGATATATAAAAGAGATTAATTAATTATATTGATATTCGTGATTTTATATATGTATATACATATATACAATTTAGTCATATTGACAATTTACTTTATTTTAAACAATGTATGTATTTTTATATGTATATAAATAAATATATAGAATTATATATCATATCAAATAAAAATAATCTTAGGATTCCCAATTCGATAAAATTTGTGATTCACTATTTTAGCAAAACGAGCTATATATATATGTGTGTGTGTGGGGGTTTATGTATAAATGAACAGAAATTCACCATGTTGCAACATATTCATGTAATCAAATAAATTAACTGTCAATTCACTATTCACACAAATGTACATATTGGTAAACATTTATGAGAAATTCATTCATTCAAGTATATGTATGTATATACATTGATTAGAATTACAGTAAGTGTATAGATGAATAGAAATTCACCATGTTGCTAGAGGCGAGCATCAAAACGCGATTGACCCATGAATCGACTGCAGCTTTCCAGCTTTCAACGACCTTTGGATCAGTCGAATCTGCGGTGAGAGATTCAGATAACAGTCTGTGAGTTTTAACCATAGACACAACGTGAGACAGCTCCGAAGGGCCCTTGAGTGGATGCTTCTCATCAGGCATGTGTTCTCTGATTAGGGTTCGGAGCAATCGGGGCTTCAGAGCAATGTCGTGCATATTGCGAATGTGATCGAAAGCCGCCATTGATATGTGCTCTCGAGTTCTGATTCTCAGAGTTGCAGAGAAAGAGAGGTTTGAGTTTTCAGACTGTGTGCTTTAGGGTTTTTCTGTTAAACCCTGAATTTGAATTTACTGATCAGGCCTAATATTAGATTAAATACCATTCGGACCCCTGACTGTTTCAAAATTACGTAAAAAAAGCCCTGTGTCTTGATTCATTATCAAAATTGAAAGTAACAAATTCTTATCAAAATTGAAAGTAACAAATTCACAATGGCTTAAATCTATAAGCCACCACCAAATAAATGCGTTAAATTTTGAAGGGAAAAAAAAGGGTAACCTTTAATTTACAAGAGATTAATATATTTTTGTCAAATTTTTAAGGGTAAATTATAAATATATCTCTTGAAATTTACTTAAAATATGATTTGTTTCCTATTCTCTGAAATTTTTAATTTCATAATAAATGACCTCTTTTATTAATAAATTATCAAATCAATTAATAGTTTTTAATGACATCAAAAATTTATTTCAATTAATAATTCAGTAATTTTATCATTGGGTAGGAGATCAGTTGAGAATTTTATTTTTTTAATTAATTTTATTATATAAAAAATTCTGATCAGAGAGTATTTATAATTTTTCAAATCACATAGGATAATTTATGTTTTGAACAAATCTCAAATAGGATATTTATACTTTACCCAATTTTTAACAAGGGTTATCAATTAAATTATAATTTGACACAATACAAAAATTAAAAAATAAATAATTTGATTCATATAAGATATTATAATAAAATTCAATAAAATATAGCACTCTAATCTTGTTGGGCAAAATGCCTGGTAACATTACACAAAAACTTATTATCTTTATTTTGCATAACTAGTTTACCTAGTGTATATTTCAATAATATTTTTTATTTTAACTACTCAATTAAATTAATTTAACTAATTTAAAAAAAAATTAATATAACATAATAATTTGTTTATTTATGACATGCTACATGAAAGTGTTGACATAATATTTGCAATTTTTTAAAATATATTATTAAATTATTTTTAAAACAATACGTTTACATGATTATATTCTTAAATATAGGGAGATTATTTAAGGGGCATTTACATACAAGTCTCATTTTGTGAACTTGTAATCCATTAAGTCTTAGATGAAATTATCTGCTCCTTCAAGTTCCATTAATTTTTAATAGACTAATTTATGCTTCCAAGACCTCCTCCATAGCTGCCAAACAGCCATTGCTGTCTTCATATCTCTCTCTCTCTCTTTACAATTGCAATTCGAAATTCCACGCAACTTCAATTCGATGGACATGGGTGATTCAAGTTCACAAGGGTAATTTGGGTCTTGATTCATTGTTGATTGAAGCTCGATCAATCAATTTCGCAAGTCACTCTTCGACTTCAAATTTGGATTTCAGTTTGAGATTACGACTTCTGCCCTTGAATTCATCCGCGACTCGCATCGAATCAATTTCGAATCTGGGTTTTGTTCACTTGCAATAAAAATCATACTTGGGTTGTTCTGGACTCGATTCACTGAAATCAACAGATGGTTTCAATTTGTGCTCTGAGTTCGCAACTCAAGGAATCCAAATCTGGATCCATTTCAGATCGCCCGTGAAGCCTACTCAAGTTCCCCCCAATCGAACCAAGAACAGGTCAAGAAGTACCTAGGTCACACCAGGGCTTCGAATCGAACCCCAAATTGCAACCTTCTAAGTCAAAAATTTCACCAGATTTGAAATCATAACTCTATGAACTCGACTACATTATTTTTCGAAGTAGATTTCTTAAATTTCTTGATGCGAAAGTCCTCTCAGTTCTTAAAATGAGGTCTGAAATCCAGATTTAGAGTAAGAAATCGATTTCCAGATTTAAATTCTACAATCGCAACACAAAGCAAGCCACGACCCACAATTGCAAACTCTCTGTTAAACTAGAGTCACTGTGTAAAGGCAGAACCAGGTACTCAGATACAAGACATTGCATTATACTCTTAAGCTGAGTCTCTTTTTTGAAATTGAGAACATTTTCCGTTTATAATATTCCCAATTTTAATTATGAAAAAAAAAAAACTCAATTCAGCAAACTGATGTGTCAAGTTTGTAGAATTATCTTTCTTTTCAATCCCATACTTTTCTTAGAAGCCAAACAGGCTGTGATTAAGCAAGAAGAAAACACATACCTCAGGACTTGATGTGGTTTGCTTCTACGTCATATTGAGCTTCAATTTCTCCAAAGTCACCGCACCAAAAGCACCGTACTCTCTCTTTATAATCGGACCCAACATCGCAGACGATGACGACGGCAATTCAGACAATGGCAATGCTCTGAAAAATAAGAAGGGCATAGATGGTGTCCCAGGTATTAAATTTAACTTCATCATTAGCACTTATTGATTCTTCTGAATTCTGATTTGAAATTACGAACATTCTCAGTTTATAATATTCTCAATTTTAATCATGAAAAAAATTAAGAAATTTCTCGAAACTGATAATATCCTCAGTTCATACTAGGAAAAAAATTTTGAAAAATTTCTTAGTTTTGATAATTATATACTAAAATCATTCTCTATTTTGAAAATTGAGAACATTCTCAGTTTTGGCGTAACCTGTAAATGGGACTTATTGGTTCAAAAACTTTTTGACAGAACCTAAGCTACTACCAAATATGTAGATAGGACTTTTAGGTAATTAATCCATTATATAAACATGATTATATTCTTAAATAGAGGAAGATTATTTAAACCATAACTCCGGAGGATTGATTGATGGATGAGGGGAATGAGTAGTAGGCAGAATAATTTGCCTAGCTTCCAATGAGTAGCTACATGGAGATAGGGGTGTAAATTTGGCCCAATCCGACCCATGTCGGGTCTCGCGGGTTTCAACTCGGATCGACTCACGAGCCAGAAAATTAGGCCAAAGCCCAGACCCAGGGATACTCAGGCCTTCAGCAGGGTGGTGGGCCTGGGCCTATGCCGAGCTTGGGTGGGCCTGAACAAATTTTTTCTTTTTTTAAAAAAAAAAAATTTCTACAAAAATTTTATTAATTTTCACTAAAAAATGCACTAAACCTCGGGCGAGGCAGGCCTTGGGTGTCATGACCCAAACCTACCCCTATGGATTTAGTATCGTAACCGGCCAGTAATCATTGGATTACCAAAGGCCTCTTAATAGAATATCATATAGTTAGGGGCTACGAGAGCAAATATACAAAATATATGAGGTCCAATGAGCTGTAATGACATACATGGGACAGATAGACAAATAATTTAAAACTTTTAAAAACTTGCGAGCGAAGTCAAAAAATATAGTATTTACACATCACTCCATGAACATATAACACAGAAATATTGCCCGCACTTAAAAGGAGCAAAGTCTGGTACACCACAAAAACAGCCACTAAATTTGTTTCCATCCAGAACCTCCTCGGGAGTTACAAATATTGGCTGACAAAAACTGAAACATAGGCCGTCAACTTTGGGCCTGGTCACATGCCTGCTCACCTACAAACATAATATAAATAGTGAACTAAAACCCAGTGAATAATAACGGAGTAAAGGGTTTTAATGAATAATGTCCATACAGATTCATAACAGATTCATATTCATATTCATATTCTTGCTCAGATCATATACAGAAATCAGAGTTCATGCTTAATCATACGTAGTACATCTATTAGAGCTAACAGAACAGATATAGAACAAATGCAAAACATATAATGGTTATGAATAACCAGTTCCATAAAGGAACCTCTGGATCCAGGTAACAGAGAATATACATGCTGAGCTCCATGATGGAGTCTCCGGTGCGAATAACAGATGACAGACATAATAAGTTCCATAATGGAACCTCCGATACCGGGTAACAGCTAACAGATATCACATAATGCTAAGAATGCCACGAATACATTGTTAGAAATTGGACAATCATTCATTGTACAGAACATATCATTTCAGAAAATAGATCTGAATTCATCATACAGAAAATAAATAAAGTTGAACATAGTTTTACTAAGTTATTACTCACAATTAAGAGACGGCTCTAAGTAGACGAGTTGTCACGACCCAAACCCGGTACCCAAAGTCTCTGCGTCGTAACAAGATAAAAATAATGTAATTCGGATAATTATGTAGTCACAGCGCAAGCGGATAAATTAAATAAATTAAAATAAATAACTGGGTACTAACTGTTTATTTAAAAGGAACTAAAACATAGTTACTTGAACTTCATTGTACTACAAGAGTCTAATAATAAAAGATAGAAAATAAAATAACATAGCGATTCATTTTTCATCTTGATCCCGCTAAATTTCGTCACCTGAAAGGGGTAACAGCTATAAACACATAGCAGAGTGAGAAATATCATACTATGAGTGTAGGGGCACAAAATGGCCATGGATATTTATTTAAGCTAAAACATTAACATAAATTGGGTTGAGTTGAATACACAAATTAATTAAGTGTCAGAAACTGAAATAATCACTGTAACTACGGTACATCACTAAAGTAACAATCACTACAGAGGTCAATGGATCTATGACAACACTGGACCACAAAGTGGTCAAACACTAGCCAATGGTTATTTTAAGTCCCCTATGGCATGAAACTCCCGTGGTGGTACTCACAAAACAGAATACACAAATTAATTAAGTGCCAGAAACTGAAATAATCACTGTAACCACGGTACATCACTAAGTGACAATCACTACATTGGTCAATGGATCCATGACAACACTGGACCACAAAGTGGTCAAACACTAGCCAATGATTATTTTAAGTCCCCCATAGCATGAAACTCCCGTGGTGGTACTCACAAAACATATTTTCATATAAGGTCATAGCCAAATATTCTTTAAAAGTAAAACGAACATATCCATGGGTTTCACTTTTAAACAAATAGGGTTCAGAAATAAAACCACGTAGCTGAAACTTTTATAAAACATAACTTTTATTAATATATTAATAAAACATAAATTATATAAAATAGATTTTGGTAAGTCAAAACATAAGTAAAAATACTTTTTGGTAACTCAAGGTATAATATAACTCACCTTAAATTAATTCATTTATCC